CAGCATACATAACAGGTTGTAAATACGGTGTCCTAAATAGGACATCTTGAGACTCAAATGCTTTTTACAGTTGCGGTTAAAGAACACCTCTGTTTTTGATTTCACGACCCACTGTAGCCTTTTGTGTACGCCTGGCTGTTCATCATTGTATCGCTGCAGCAGAGAAGCACTTACTGGCTCCAAAAAGCTTCCCTGAAAGAATTTTGTGGTTTCTATCAGAAGCTTTTCAATCTTAAACCATGTAAAGTTTAAAAATGCAGAATTTTAAATAAACCATTTTATAAATACACGTAATTGTCAGGTCGAGCTCATGTAACAGTTATTCAAACTACTGAATGCTGAGTTCATGAAAGCTTTACATTTGCTATTTTAATAAGACTTGTACGCCTCTGCACATCCTCTGCACACTTTTATGTTTCCAACAGCAGGTTTTCAAAAATCAACAGAAGATGAGCTAAGAGTTTAGTGCTGACAGCATTAGCTGTTGTAGCAGGAAAGACAATAGAAAAACATTTTTTAATTTAAAAAATGCTTCATTAGTCAATGATATATATTTAAATTACACAAATAATCTATATATTATTATTATTTTATACATTTAAATGCAAAGAAAATCTGTTTTAGGTTCCCCATTAGATTTGGCACCAGTGATACCTTCTGTGCAGGAGAGCTCTGTCAGTTGCTGGCTTGCCCAAACATTTGTCAATATGCCTGTGGTGTGTGTTCCCTTTAAACAGGGCAACTAATTATTGGGCATTCTCAGCATTATTGGGCATGCCTGTTGAGCTGCTTGTCGACTCCCACTCAAAAATCCCAGATTTAAAGATTTGTGGACACTGAGTTAAAGATAGGCCTGAAATAGACTTTGGAGACCCCATAATGAGCCACAAGAAACACTGCAAATGCACACGAACTATTGATTTGGATTCAACCTTACTGACCAGACTAAGTGCTTAATAGGCTTATTTAACCACAAGATACTTTTAAGGATGTACAGTGCTTTCTTTGTTTCCATCTCTAGAGAATTAATGATCTTCCTGTTCGATTGTGCTCCATTTGAGTTACATATGATGCAGTTTGTCTAGTTAGTAACTGTTTAATAGCACTGAGACACGATGCAGACGCTAAGTAGAGAGTTACACTTTTTTTGTGTGTGTTTTGCTTTTTGTCTTTCTTTTGTCCTCTACACCAAGCACAACACTGGTTGAGTGAAAAAGATTATAAACGATAGCAATTTAAAAACCACGACAAGCGTAATTAACAATGAAAATGCAGGGAATTCTTAGTTGACTTCTGCTTTACAGAGTGTTATACTAGGTTACAGGTCATTGTTTAGCTTTCTGGCCTCAGATCTACTGTTTTGGTTCACCCCCACTGCCTTCTTATTGCCATTTCAGGTAAGAAGCAGCTGTTTTCTAAAAAAACAGAAGACATGTTCTTGCACAATTAGCTGGTGAGCATAGTGGAGAATTTACCTGATATGAAGTCAACAATTTCCCAGAGGAGTTGGTAGGGACCAAACATAGCACTAAAAGAGAGTCAGAATCAGTTAATCACAAAATAAGGAGTCCACATTAACGATAACGATGCTCCACAAGTTCGGGTGTAAATGCTGAATTGTTCTAATCTTAAACAAGTTCACTCTATGATCTCATCTAGTTTTTGTTTTTTTTTCACAAGTTGTTCCAGAGCGGTAAATATGCAGTGAAAATTAAAGCTGGTTTCTTTTTAGTCTTTATATTTAGATCACAGACTGTTTACATTTAAACACCGACAAAATGATTTGTTATAGGCACACCTCTATGTCAGAGTGTTACATGGGGATCTACACCAGCTCTGAGGTCTATGGTGGAAAGGCCTTGCACCATCACATCGCAGCTTTTGTGATGTTTTTGTGATGTACATAACAATTAAGTCTAGAAAAGAAAGCGATGAAAGACAAACACAGATTACCAGTGATGTGGTTCTTCCTTGTTTGAGGCACGTGTCATATATCAAGGACATGCTGATTGTGTTTGTGTCATTATTTTCACTAGCGTAAAACAAAAAGAATATTTGGCTCCAGTTCCTTTGCTGTTAATTACTATTACCGGTTCATTTGCCTTAAGTTTGATTTTCAGCATTTGGTATAATTGATGCAACAGACTTGTCCCATAAAGAACATCCTACCTCTTCTTCTTCTTTTCCTTTTCTTGGCTGTTTTCTTTAGGGGTCATCGTGACTGATCATCCTACCATTAAGCTGTAAAATCCACATGGTTTTCTGCATTTGTATATCAGGATTGCCAGCCTATTACTCTAGTCCTAAATAAAAGGGTGTGAAGAAGAGCAATGAGTCTGTTCACTCCACATTAAAATGAACGCTTCCTCTGAGCTAATATTCATTGTTTAAAGCCAATTTTACACTTTCAGATCTTGAGAATAATTTCTAAATGTGTTTTTAAAAGGTTGTATAAAGCCTTATGCTTCTTCAACTGGTGTCACTAATGAAGTTTAAATCTGAAAAATAATTTGGAGGTGTGAAGTTAGAAGTTGGAATACTAGAGCCTTTGAGCCCACTCCTCATCTCTGCTTAAAGCTTACAGCTCGAGGCTATATTAGCTGCTACTTGTGCAACACACCACTGTCTCCAGCTGAACTGGTGCCAGATTTTTGTCAAGGAAGCAGACTCTGTTGAGTGAACAAAAAAACAAAAAAAAAAACCAAACAATATCTCTGCTACTGCTGCAGACATAAAAAAAGACCATCATGACAATGACACTGTAGGAGTGTAATAATAAATTGGATGAGCACTCTTTTAATTTAAAATCGAATGTGCCAGAAGCAAAACAACACAAAATAATGCATGGCACTACTGCCAGACTGAAGTGAGAATTGAGAATAAGGCTTTCATAAAAGCTGTTGTTGACCAACTTAGGATCTTCATTCAGCTGGTTTGCCTTTAATTTCACTCTTTACCTTTCAGCTGGAAAACAGGGAGGCTAAAGATTTTAGTCTTTAAAATGTAGCTTCAGTAAGTTCTTGAATCATCGGGCCCCATCTTATCTTACCTCATAGCTATGGATCACCCCAATAGAGCACTTTGCTCTCAGATGCAGGCGTACTTGTGGTTCCTAGGGTATTTAAAAGTAGAATGGGGGCAGAGCCTTCAGCTTCCAGGCCCCTCTTCTGTGGAACCAGCTCCCAGTTTGGATTTGGGAGACAGATATCCTCTCTGGTTTTAAGATTGGGCTTAAAACTCCTTTTTTTTAAAAAAAAAGCATGTAGCTAAGGCTGGATGAGGTGACGCTGAATCCTCCTTTAGTTACGGTGCAGTAGGTGTAGGTTCTTGGGGGATTCCCATGATGCATTGAGTATTTCTTCTTTAGTCACGTTTTCCACTCCCTATGTGTTTATACACCTCTGTGCATGTAATCACCAGTTATTATTAGTATGGCTCCCTTTCACAGCGTGTCTATACCCTGTCTCCCTCCCTTCACAACAACAGGTTGTGGCAGATGGCTGCCACTTCCTCAGCCTGGTTCTGCTGGAGGATTTTTCCTGTTAAAAGGGAGTTTTTCCTTCCCACTGTTGCTCAAGCACTTGCTCATACAGGGTCATATGGTTGTTGGGGGTTTCTCTGTTTTCTCTGCATCGTTGTAGGGTTTTTACTTCACACTATACAGCAGCTTGAGGCAACTTTTGTTGTGATTTAGCTATATAAATATTGAATTGAATTGAAAAGCATTATGCAGTACTCATTCCTACTTAAATAATCACTGTTAGAACAGCTCTCTGCCACACACACAAGTACACACATGAGATAAACCACAGCTATTGTTTCAAGACTCATGTGGGACTGCAGCTACGCTTAAAAACACAGCACGTTTGTAGTGGATGTCTTAATTACCCCGGACAGGTTATTTAGAAACTGCTCCAAATGTCCTGCAGACAGAGTGCCAAAACACACAGGCACGCAGGGACACAAACACACACATACACACATGTGGCCAGACAGAAGCTGCAAACCCAAAAACAACAACAACAAAGTTCTTTTTTTCCTCTTTTTGATGCAAACTCATTCCAGCGATTCCCATCACTCCTCTTAGTTATCAGATATTTCTGCTTATACTCAGTAAACATCTTTTATGTTTTGTTTCTTCTAATTTCCTCCACACTGTGACCCCCCCAGAGTAAGCCCCGTTGTTGCATTTCTGAGACTTTTGGAGCGCATTTTGCTTCAAGGTCGAACAATAGCTCTGCAAAAGACCACCGGCTTGATTGAAACCATAAATCTGCCTGACACAGAGGCTAGAGTTTTGGGTCGGTTTTGTAGGTTTAATATCAATATTAAAAAGATATATTTGTCAAAAAAAAAAATCTACTTCAAAATGAAACCAAATCGAAATGTATGTCCTAAATGATAAATTGTCTTCCTGTTGAATAAACATTACTGCTCTCTTATGATAAAAAAAAAAAAAGCTTCTCTTTTTTGCACTTTCATTACTCCATGTCATAAATAATGCAGTCTGCTTCTTAATTAGCAGAATATCAATAAAAAAAATTCTATGAACTTTAGACCATGGAGACAGGAAGAGGATGCTAGCTTTATTTTAAATGTTAATCTAAGTTGACTTTAAAAATAATGTAATTTTAATACTGTAAGTTTGGGGTTTTCTGAATATTTTCACCATTGTAATGAAAACTGTATTTGCTATGTGTATTTTCTTACAAGTTTAAATGCTCAAACGCCAAACACATTCCCTGCTCAAAATAGCAAATGTAATGTCTGTGCATCCTTGGAGATATATGAGTACTTACATGCGCTAAGTGCTTTTAGTTTAGATTTACAGTAATATAGACTTGTAAGAGTGAATATAGTATCTGTCTATCTGCCTTAGCATGAGAGACTGACACCTGATTCATAGCATTTGCTAAATACATTAAGCTAATGTACTGATACCTTTAGCAACTATGAAGGCTACCTCTTCTTTACATGTTTCTCTGCTCCTGGCCTTGCAGGTTCGTGCCAGTGCCATTGCCCAAGATGCTGACCAGAACTATGACTACGCCTCCAACAGCGTCATCCTCCATCTGGATGCAGGAGACGAAGTGTACATCAAACTGGATGGAGGCAAAGCCCACGGTGGCAACAACAACAAGTACAGCACCTTCTCTGGCTTCATCCTCTACGCAGACTGAGAACACACAGACACAGAGACAGTCAGACAGGAAGAGACTCAGACTAAGTGTAGTATGACGGGGGGGAGGGGGTGTATGTGTTAAAAGCCTGGAATGCTTTCTAGTTTTCCTAATTCTCTCCATCATCACGGACACCTCTGCTTCGTATCCATCAGTCAAGACATCCAGGTTCTGTAGCCAAGTCTGGATGCAAAGCTCCTGAGGACTGAGAGGAGCTCGGTTGGGCGTGTGTGGGAGGAGTGGGATGTTAGGTGGAGGTGGGCCGGTTTTTTCCACACTCCTTGCCACAGTGCCACTGGTCAAAAGCTCCTCACTCTCAGTGTCTCTCCTCTTTAGCCCTGCTCCATTGCACAGAAATATCAACAAATATGAAAACCCTGCTAAGTGGATGATCTCACCTCTTCTCTCCACAGCGGCAGCAGTCAGCTGCAGTATCAGTGGACTGAAGTGACTGAAACTTATAGTGTTGTTCCGTGAAATTTTCCTTAGATTGTGTTTTCATTTTGTAGACATGCATAATATTCAACACGAGCAAGATTTTAAAAAAAAGTAATAATAAAAGAGAATATATTTGTCCCTTGTGAAGATATCCTGTTTGACTGAGAGATGTTATTTGTGATGCAGCTCAGAGCTCTAACAGCTGGAAAACAAATCTTTAAATCAAGAGTTTCACTATTTCATAGCAGTGTGTGTTTTTCTTCATTTCTAGGTAAAACAAGGTAACTATTATTCATGTGGAGAATAACAATACATTCTGCACTTCCAGTGTATCTGAAGAAGAAAACATCTAATATTGACAATACCCTATCCAGAAACCACCTCACACTGTTTCTGGCACTGTCACAAATGTCCTGCTGCTCTTCAGATTAAAGAAGGGCATAAATAATCTTTTCAATGTTCTAGCTTCATGTAGATGTTCCACTCAGCACAACCAGTTATGTGATACAGAAAATTTTCAAACTCAGAGGTAACCCAATTGAAGAACGCCAATCCTTTCCTCTTCTCTGTTATGCCGATCTCCAAGGTTTCTTGCGAGGTATTAAAAATGAAGAAGAAGAAGAAGAAGCAGCGAGCAAGGAAAAGAAAGTCGCAAATGCAGAGAAAGATTTAGAAGTGAGTGAGATGGGGAGGTAGAGGAGGCGTTCAAGCACAGTGAAAGTGAGTGGGCAATTTTTATGTTTCAGTGTCTTCACTGGATGTCATCCATTCATTAGCTGCATATTCAATGACACACAGGCATTATGGTAATATTTACTCGACATGGCTGCCTGATGGCTTGCTTGAGAATGAAACTGATTGGGTGAGTGACTTGGCCTATTATGACCGCACGTTTGACTGTATGCGTGTTTGCGTTTGTGCGCGTATGTGTGTATTCTGTGCATACCAGTGAGTGTCTGCATCTTAGCATGTGCCGTGCCATAATTACATTGTTATTTTTCAGAGTTATCCTGTGCTACAGCCAATGACATATATTTTACGCAGCAGCCAATGAGATTGTGCTCTGTAGGGTGGAGCCTCTATAGATATGATGAGAAGAACAAACAGCTTGTAATTGAAATCTATGACTTGTTTGTCTATCTTATCTTTTGGAATTGTTGAATACATTTCAATAATAAATGGGATTTTTTTGAGTGACTTGTCTCAGGAGAATTTTTGAATCCCAAATACACTAATTAAGGCAAATTATCTGTAAAAGAGCTCATTCGCTCTGTGAGACTAACTGCAGCGGCAGCAAAAAACATGACTGGAAATGTGCGTTTCTTGTTCTGTTTGAAGCGAGAATTCGAATAATGGACACTCAGTGCAAACAATAAAAAGATCCTATCAGCAAATCCCTTATCTCTCTTTTCTCTGGAGAATGTAAAGTGTATCCAGGATGACGAGCATCCAGGGAGAGATGTCTGTGTTTATGCTCCCCCCGCCACGTCCCATCCTGAAGTGATCCTGTGGTGCTTCTCTCCATCTGGAAAGGTGCTCTTGGAGATAAAGACTCTCCAACTTTAGCAACATCCTCCAGTGGAGTAAAATGCCTTTTTTGAATGCAGATGAGCCCTTAGGGAAATGCAGGCTATTCCTCAATCTGCAATCACAGTTTCTTTTCACAGATTCACATCAACAGGGGTATGATATACCTAGCGAGGAAGTGAGGAGAAGAGAAGACAGGGGGAGGAAAGATTGAGAACGATAGAAACGGAGCAGAATATGGTTTGACAAAGACAGATGGAAACATGAGAGAAAGAGCAGGCCACAGAGAAGTAATGGGGAATGGATAGATAGGGAAGGAGAAGGTAAAGAGAAATATAAGGAAGACAGAAATAAAAGGGGGTGGTACTGATTTGGGGTGAAGAGCGAGGAGGGGTGGATTGTTTTCAGGGTAGAGTGATTCCCTGTCGGGCCTGTGTGAGGTGTCAGGAGAGATTAGCCAGCGTGAAGCTGGAGGAGAGAGCTTGAGATAGCTTAGATTGGACAAGTGTCAAGGACTGGACATTCCTCAGACCTGGCAGGAATGGGATGTGACACTGGCTGCCATGCTCGCCGGCACTACTTTGATCCCAAGGGGGCATTCACCCCTCTCTGTATCATTTTATGAAATTTCCTCAAGCATATAGCAAGATTATTCCAAACACATCAGTGATATTGAGAGTGCTTGAGCATCTTAACAGCTGTAATTGTTCCAGGTGTAATTTTAAAAAACATTGCCATCAGCAGGGGAGAAGAGAAGGTCTTCAGGATTAAATTCTGTGCCAAGTAAAACTGAGATTTACTTCAGCACAAATAGACTAAACAACATCAAATCTCAATTCACAGTCAGAAGGTAAAAAAGTAGCAAAAGGACAATTTTATTTCATATTTATCACTGTCATGTAGGAAGAGACGCCCACATTATTTACAGGAGAAATAGGTGAAACTAAAAAAATGTAACTAAAAAACTTCTAAAATGTAATTAGATATATATTTTTTCCAGGAAATATTAACTATAAATAACGAGAGTAGTGATTAAATGGTGAAAACAGCAACCAAAAAAATTCATTCTAAATTAATGAATTAATTTGTGCAAGGAGGAGATATTTTTGGAACTCAACCTGTTTTTCTACTAAAGAAACACGAACTGTTTCATTCATTTTTAACGCAACATAACACTGCACTCAAATCAGTATCACTACAAATACAATGAACAGTGTGTTCTGATATAACTTGATGACATGCATCAACACAATCAGAATATGATATAGTATGATGTCTACTAAAAGGTTACGTAAAAGATGATTTATGAAGGATTGTGAAAATAATGTGAGACATTTTACTTGTAATTAAAATACAGCACTAAAAAATGAGACGCTTCATTTATTTCTATTGTTTGTGAAGTGCCCAAATTTGTGAAACCTTTGTATGAGCACCCTTTCTCGATTTTTATTTATTTGTTTGTTTTTGTGCTGTGGATCTCACAGAAGCTTCTGATTACGTCAGCAGTGTTGCCGATGTTTTGCCCTGTGAATGCACCTGAAACATGTTGACTGTTTGCCTATTTACCAATTACTGAGGTGCAACTGTAGCAATGTCTGCGTTGGTAATGTCACCTGCTTATCATCACGAGAGAACACTGAGCCCACATGTTTCTCATGCTGCTAAAGGGGCCCTGCTGCATAAGCCTCCGCCCTTGCAAACAAGCAAACACAGAATAAGTCTATTTCCAGAATAACACGCATTGTTTTTCTTTTCGGTTATGCATCCATATCGACATGATCTCTTATAGATGCATATAGGCAGTGTGCCCTTCCCAGCAATCAGGTGATATATATATATATATATATATATGCATGTTTAGATGGAGTATTTTGAATGTATATTAGTGGACTGCATGTTTTTTCTTGAATTATTAATTTTCTCTTCAAGAAACAGAATCTGAATCAATAAGTTACACTATTTATGTAAGAAAAAAGGCTGCTAAATCACAGTCTGTTATTTTTCTCAGTGCTAAGATGTTGAGTGACGTAAGCTTCACAGTTTGGGTTTTTTTTTTAATGTTTTTAGCAACTTTCCCTCCACGGTTTCATAAGTGGTTTGGCAGCCAGTTCAAGCTTGCAAAACGCTGCTTTCATATAGTGATACATTCTAAAAATCTGACATGCATGCACTCTAGCACCATCATTTTTTGGTTCAGTTTGACCTTTTCCCTCACTTTTTTTTCTCCTTACTGTGCCCTGCTTTTAACCTGGTATGACAAACACAAAGGTTAGGAAAGCAGACAGCTGTTAGTAGACGGGACTCCTCTCGCCACCCTTGAGCCTCTACTATATGCACACACATGCATGCACATGCATAAGCATACGTGGAAAAACCTCTGCATGATAGCACAGTCACACATTAACACTGCCACCCTTGCTCTATTTGCTTCAACCACAGCGCATGATTCCCTTTGTCAGTTTGGGTTGCGGCCGAGGAAGAAGCCTTTCTCAGTCGTCCCTGTATGCTCTGAAGCTGCCAGGCCAGGTGTACTCTGCAGTCACTCCCTGCACTGTGGGAGCTGGCCGAGCTGAGTTGCCCGGGCGCTTATTGCAGACCCACCCTCGCTCGTTGTGACATTCTGACCCCAGCTCACCACTCTGCTGCTTTATATGCACTAATTTAACACTGCAACAACACACTGATCCACAGAACTTTAGACACTGATAACCCTCATTTGTTTCATTAAACTCACCATGACTGTCTTTTATTTTTGTTCCTTCTAAATCTCTGATCATGACATGTGTTAGTTATCATAATGAGCTGTGTAGAATGTAGAGTTACTTTAACCCTATAATTCTCTTTGTATCACATTTGATACGTGAGTTTCTGAGACCGCTATCTCATCAACATGATCAATACTTGCCATAATTCTAAAATGTTATGGACAAAACTCCTTTTTTCCTTAAAATTAACATTGTTGTTAACAAAAAGTTGCCAAAAAACACCCAATGTATCAAATGTGATACAAAAAATATATAATAAATATATATTATAAATATATCACACACAACATGATATAGAAAAAAAATTGTGGATTTTCTTATAAGGGTTAATAAACACCTCAGTTCCAAAAGATCTGAATTTTCTGGCTATGTTTAGATCGGTTGGGTCTTACAGGGTTAAGGACCAAAGAGCAGGACAGAAGTCAAACACAAAGCAAGCATTTAATGCTGATTAAGTCCAAAGATTTACAAAGTCCGAATCCAAGAATACACACAGAGCAAAGCCAGGGAATCCCAATATCCGGAAACGATTGCAACAAAAGCTTGGGAAATACAGGGGATATACACCTGGAGACAAACAGCTAAATGGACAACAGGAGAAAGGATAAAGGAAGGCTGAGACAATATATAAACACAAACGGTAACAAGGGAAGTGAAAATAGCAGGGAAATCAAACACAGCTTAATACGACCAAGACAATAAAAAAGAGAAGTAACGAAAAGAGCAAGTAAAGTAACTTAATGCAGGGAAGACAGAAACACCAAAAGACAAAAGAAAGGAGAGATGAGACAGAATTCAGAGGAATTTAACTTAACTACTAAAGAACTAAGGGGTTCACGATAA